CCTCCACTGGTATTAATTTTTATCGTTATCGTCCCTGCTGCCGTTCGATCTACCCAACCATTAGCACTGACAACGCGGCGGTTAGGATTTTCAGCGGAATATATGTTGCCGCAATCGGCTCTATGCCCTTTCCACTAAATCAGCGTTGATAACTCTCCACAGTAACTCATAATCGATATACATTAAGGATTTGAATAATGTTTTAATCTGCGGCAGAAATTTTTGGAAGCGTGAAACAAAAATTTGGTAAAATCTTTTTGTAGTTTTGGTTAATGTTAGAGGGGAAAAGATAACTGGGAAAATAGGCATTGTTATCAGTGAGTGTCATTGTAAATATTCCTTAACTTCGAAGTTATGACCATCAAAAGTGCCGACACACGCCCGCAGAATGAGGCTGACAGGTCGAGAAGACAGCAGAAAATGTCTAGAGTAAGGCACCAGGAAAACAATGGCACATATTACATCTTGTGCACTTGTCCCGCATTGATAAAACGATGTAACCATCAGCAGTTTACTCGCTAGGATACACTAGGGGAGGCATCGATAATTAAGCCACAGAGTCTGTTAAAATTCGCATCAAGCGCAGAGAATGTAAAGGATGACTATTCCTTATGTTTCTAGTAACCGACTACATCTGGTATCGCAAAAATTGGTCTATGCGTCTATCAATGGTCTACCGGATTAACTAAACCTAACCTATCCTAAAAGTGACGTATATTCATAACTCGAAGAAATAAAAAAGTACTAAGTTCGTCTGTAACCCAACATTTTATAATGTCGTAATTACAGGAGGATGGAGTCATGTGTAGAAGTTCACGCCAGTGAGGAAAGTTCTCTGATCGCCATTCACTTGCGAGTGGCCAGAAACGACTATTTCGCATATGGCTCAAACAGCTCACGACTTCCGGTCTTTCACCATGTATAATCTGGGTAGCCTAAGAACAACGCACCCCATGAAAAATAATGCTCGAAAAGTCTACGAAATAATGCGGCGACTAACAGAAGGTTACAAGACCGGAGCATACTCTTGTAGAACCCAAGGAGGTGATATAGTAACCGATGTCAGAGCGCACTAAATCATGGCCGACGATTGGTATTTAAGTGTCTTCTGCCCAATCCGCAAAAAGGGAGACCCGATAATCTGCGCCAACTGCCGTGGGATAAGCTTCCTCAACATCGCGTATAAGGTTCTACCGAGCGTATTGTGGACAGATTAAAGCCGACTGTCAACAAACTGATTGGACTTAATCAATGTGGCTTGAGACCTGGCAAATCAACAACTGACCAGATATTCACCATGCGCCAAATCTTGGAAAGACACTCACCACCACTTCCTTGATTTCAAAGCTGCTTTTGACAGCACGAAAATGAGCTAACTTTATGCCGCGATGTCTGAATTTGGTATCCCCGCACACACTAATAAGCTGACGCTGAGCAACACTAAAATCTCCGTCGGGATTGAAAGGACCTCTCCGAATCGTTCGATAACCGTCCTGTTATATGGTGTATGCGTCGAATACGGCGCACCAAACGCTTCAAAACTCCAAAGTAGAATACCGAATAATAGTGGACAATACCCTTGAATCATAAAAACAAATCAGCACTGTCTTCACTTTTGACTTCTCCAAGTGCAATTTTTTGGGTTTCGGCTCGTCAAGTGCCTTCGGGATCATACTAAAAACACCACGTTTCGTCATCAGTCACTATATTGTAAAGAAAGTGTTTATACTTTTGGATCTCTTTAAAGATGTCCTTCGAATGTCGAATTTTGATTGGCCCACGTGTTGATCGTCATTTAGGTCCTCACGACCACTTTGAAAACGTTGAAACCACTCGTGCACTCTGCTACGGGATTGGCAATCATAGCCATAAACTTGTTTCATCAATTGAAACGTTTCGATAAAAGTTTTACCAATTTTAAAACAAAATTTAATGTTGGCTCTTTGACAATCGATAAAGAAAGCAGATTCTAACACACCAGTCGATATATAGATGGCGCTACCAGGGGCGCTAGAATCAAAAGGTTCTGTTTTATGTGGAGCTCAACTTCTATGACGCAATTCGAAAACCACTTGAAAATGAAATTTTCGCATGGTAGAGAGCGCGAATTATACGCGTGTCTTTTGCATGTTATATCTAAACGTACGATATTGGTATTCCGTTCTTGAGCTAGTCTACCGGTAAATCTCAATTACCATTGAACTGCCAAAAAAGTATAAAAATCCTGTAAGACTTCAAATCTCTTAAAAATTATTCCCATGCTTACCGCTTACATACATATAAAAGACGAGTATGAACATAAGTACTTTGTACATCAACCGATTTGTCGGCGAAATTAATTGATTTTTAACATCCTTTCATAACACTCAACGCCAATCTGGTAACCAAATAATATAATCAAAAAAATGGGACTATAACAATAGCAACAAAAACCAGTAACGACAACACAGCAACTTTCTCCCAACGACTAATTGAGATGGAAGCACATCAAAAGGATAACACGCCTTTCAACAGCTACAAACACATAAGTACCAACCGTAACAACAAAAGAAACATGTAAATAAAAAATGCACAACAAATGGAGACAATGACTAAGCCAGCTTCCTCAACGCCAGCGCTGACGATCCAGTTCAAATCAAGTTGATTTCATCGTTTGGCGCATCCGCAGCGGCTTTGAAAATTATTACGATTATGTTGATTATGGAGCCTGAGTTCAGCTGCCGTTTTTTGCTTTCTGCCACTGCTGTGGTTGAAGATCAAACGATCAAATGAATGCTGTTGTTGTTATTATTGCAATTGCAAATATGCTGACGCGGCATCAGCACAATTAAATCGTATGACTTGAAGTCGGCCCACTATACAAGTACAAGTGTCTCATTGGAGGATGCCAAGCGAACCCATATAGGGACGAGTGTACGTCTGTGTATGTGGTGAGGCGCTCAGGTCAGTTAATGCCACTCAAACCACTTCAAGTCGATCCGTTTGCTTGCATCCGTCGCGCCATCCGATCGAAGTTTCGATAAATGTCGAATGATCTTGCACACTTGTAACGTTCGCCGATTGCTTTATTTTCTTTCTTATATAAATTTTTTTTTCTGTTGCTTTCGTATTGTACGCGTGCACTTGAAATGCCATTGTAAAGCTGAGTAGTTGAGAACGGCCAACACATTGCTTGTTGCATAGTGTCCGCACACGCCCAATTCAACAGGTGAGAAAATAAGATCACATGTAGAGACCTTACCAGCAATGCACAGTGTTTGGTTGTGCGGGAAAATGCCCATAAAAGATATTCTTACTGAAATTTCAAATGTCCATAGTTGGAAAAAGATATGATTTACCCAGGGCACATATTATTAAAACCCTGAGCTTGAATACTTCGTTAAGAAAGCTTCGATTTAATGCGTGATGTAACAACAAACAACTTTATTAAGGGGTGACATGGATATCTTCGGTTGAAAAACAGCTTATTTTCAAACATTTTTTCATATAAAAATTAAATATTTTATTAGAATTTTTTCTTGTGACCAACATATATACACTATTAACTAAGAAATTGTGAATTTTTTGGGAAAAAAAATATTTTAAATTCGGCCAATGCAATGCTATTTATGGTATCCCTTCGGAAAAAAGATGCCCCCGCGTTGGCAGGATAACTCCTAATAGGAGCATCTAAGATAAAAAAAATGCATGTTTTAGTTAAAAACTGAAAATTTTATTTTTGGCCATTGTAAGAATAGAAATAGATATTTTTAATTTAAGCGACAAATGCCAGCAGTCAATGAGTTTGATGGGTGGTCAACTGGTAGTAATAAGAATTATAAGATCTGACCGGAGACTTAAATCTGGTACCAATAAGAGCAGTTAGGCCTTGCAGTGCGCTGTAATCTGCTCATTATATTTGGTCTTTTGGAGAAATTCGTGGTGGCTGTGGTTGAAACCTAAGGCAGGTATAATTGAAAATTCAGCTCAGTGTGGAGTCGCACTGCGGCCGGGTGCCAGAGCCATAGCACAGCTAATGTTTTAAATCGGCCTCGAACCCGGCCAATTTGGAAAAGGGACACCAAACCAATTGGCAAAAAAGCTTGTAGAGTTTAAGACGCTGATCAACGCATTGTGTTGATCTATGCGCTTTTAAGCACCGAATGAATGAAAACACACCAGCTTTGAAAGTATTCCTTCAGGAAGTAGAGGAAGAACTCCACTCCATTGGAAAGACCAAATAAAATAATATGATGCTATACTTGAATATGCTAAAGAGCCTTTTTAATAATAATTTTGTTGCAATTTCGATTCCGATTTGATAATATGAAGCTTCGTTGACTTCATAGTAGAGGTTTATCTACAACCTAATCTCTTCAGTTGAGTGAATTTTTTCCATTGAATCAAATTTTTAGTCCGAGAAAACAGAAATAGTCTCCGGTTACCCAATTTATAGTGTAATTCCTTCAATCAACGAAGCCTATTCATGAATGTTCGTGAATATTATGACCAACGCATTCCTTTGATATAATATGTTGTTAACTAACTAACTCAATTTCCTTTTTCGGCCACCCTACACAGTTTTCCGAACTTTCGCGATGTCTTATTGTGGTTTTCCAAAATGTAGTTTGATCTCAAGACCAACACTTCAAAACTATCATGAAACTTTACGGGATTCTAGTTAAGTTTAGTACTCTAAGGCAAGACAAGAACAAAAATTTCTTGTTTATGCCGCTTTATTTCCATCAGACCAGATACTTATCAACCCCTTCTGATCCCATTGAACAAATGTTTCATAAATCCGAACATAATTATAGAGAGGCAGAAGATCTTAACATTTTTGTTATCAAAATATTATAGATTTATCTGTTTGCGGTTTGAAATTGTGTATGTTTTTGTTTTTTAATTTCTTTACGATATTTGGATTTTCAAAAATTGATTTAAATTAAACGACATTAGATTTATTTTATTTTTGAATTTTATTTTGCAGCTTATGTCAATATGCATCATTATACGTCATTTCTGACATACTGTAGCATAGGATAAATATGTACGTTCTATACATATATACTTTTTGCATGCTTCCAACAATGACGTTGCTAAAAACTCCTTTCCATTCATTCATTCATATGCTATTCGAATCATTTCGAAGTCCTGCACAACAACCAACACCATGGATAAAAATATGTATGAACATACATACATACATAGTAGTAATGGCGCAAGGAAATGCCAAGACGATCTCATTTAATTCCACAACTAAGCGCGATTTCTGTATTGAAGCGCCAGATGAAGGTCAAATTGAAAAGGGTGCACAACAACAAATTACATGTTGTACGGACTCGGACGATGTACAGTTTAAATATCGTTACAACGTAATGTTATTAGAAACCACCAATGAATTGTTTTGGACTTCCGCTGATTTGCTGATTAAAGCAACCAAGCGAACTGCGAACAACGCCGAAGGTAAGTGTCACTGGCGCTCCAGAAAAAAAAAACCAATTATACTATACTATATATAAATATTTTTTTATTTGAAGTGACTAATATCAGGGCATGATTTTAGTAGTTTATGGCTCAAATTTTCGGCTGCGATCACTAAGATCTTTTCGCCGCGATATGACCCTTTCTGGGTCGCTATACGCCAATTTTTCCCAAAACTCCCGCATATTGTTTTTGCTATTACTGTTAAATGGTTTTTCGATGTAGTTGGTGGTTCCATTCACTGCCTACTTTTTTGGTTTGCTGATCAAATTTCATAGATAAACTAACATATACTATATGAAATCATATATATGTACATAAAACTATTTTGTGAAAACAGTGTACAAGCATATAGACCTTTGTATGTATGCGCCAGCGCTAGAAAAACTACTCATTCATGTGCGCAACTCAAAAGCCGATATCAAGATCACTTTGACCATCGCGCAGTCAGCCGCCTAGCTGGCGCTCCGGCAGGCTGACCAGCGTTTTTGGTATACTCGTGTATATTTTCCAGTCATGATTTGAAGCTTTTAGTGGCATTTCCTTTTGATTGAAATCACGGCAGTTTTGCCGATAATGGCCAACCATTTTAGTTGGCCTGACATGGCGCTTCATTGACTCACTGTATATACACACAAACACACATATATATATACGTACATGTATGAGTAGAAACATATGTTGTATTGTAAGTACATCCATCAGCAATCAGGTAGCTGTCGCTGCTGTTCGGTGTAAGCCCGGTAGCTAATTGATTTTGTATTTTAAGTGTAGTCTGTCTATAATAACCAACCGACACGACTTCCATCGCGGCTTATTGGCGGAGTAAGCCCGCACCTTGCCAGAATTCCTTTGCTCATACATGGTCTGAAGTAAGCGAGCATGTGTTGCGTTATGTACATGTATGTGTGTGTGTGTATGTGTGTGTTTGTTTGATTCAGTGTAAACTCAGCGTATAATTGTTGTGAGAACTTGCGGCAATATCGCTTGCATAAATTATTATGTTATCATATATAGTATAATATCTATACTAACTTATTGAGTAGTACCATAAAATGAAAATTCCTTCGTCAAACCTGTAAGTGATTTTAAGTTGTTCATTATAATGGAACTAGAAATATATTGTCAATGTGCCGTGAGTTGTAAGAAATGTTTATATTATATTACAACAAATAATACATACAACTTACAAGTCCAGTAAGTGATGTAAATATAAAAAGTTTCAAATGATAGCTATTTCAATGCTTCGATTTTCGCCTAATTTGATTATTTGTAAATTTCAAACATTTAAATTGTTCCACAATGTCCATATATGTATGTATATTAAAATTGGAGTTTTTTCGATAAAAAATAATGGACTGGTTGATTTATGGATAGTGAAATTGGTTACTACGAATACAACGTTTTATGTAATACTTGCGAAGGCGGTAATCGTTTATTTATCCATCCATGAATGAGAAAGGAACTTGAATCAGCTCCAAGGTCACTTCAAAAAAGAAATCGAAATAGATGCTGAAATAACTAAATAACCATAGAGTTGATATTGAATTGATAGTGATGAAAACAAAAAAGAAGTAGTCTCAAATGATACAAACTACTGTTGAAAAATAAGGGAATAGAACAAGTAAATGAAATTTATATCTTCAGCTTGTGAATAAAATCATCTATAGGTATATCAATAAGCTTTTACGTACCAAAGAGATATAGTCAAATTGTCTCCCAAAATATGACTTCATGGTAGTAGCTTTCGGTAATGCTGCCTGAAGGTATAGTTTGGATCAAGGTTCTGCAGGGACACATTTTTCGATACCGCTTTCCTGCCCTTAAAATTTATTTTATGTGCTAAAATTTCTATATAACTTTGTTCATATGTTATTTTTTCTTCCTTACTGACGTAGACACCACCTATGCGGTTATAGCCGAGTTTACAACACCGCGCCATTCGTTCTTCCTGTTTGTTGTATTGGTGTCCTTCTCCACCTACTCCAACAGAGTGGAGGTTATGACCACTCGTTTGAGTCCTTGTCCCGTCCATCGCATCTTAGACCTTGATCAACCACCTTGGAAGCGCCCCCTCCCCCATTCAAGAAGTCGTGATGTATAAGAAACTCGAGGTGTATGAACTGGCGTTGTCTTGATGAAAAAAAATGTTTCTCTTATTGTCCAAATCTGATCGTGACGATTTTCTTTTTCAGACGATCCAATTGGTGATATTACATGCCTATGTTAAGAATTTCATCTTAGACGAGCAGTTCATGGCAAGGGATCAGACAATCTCAGAAAACACTTAACAAACCTGTCAATCCTCACTTGACCACCGTTTACACTGGCTCACAGTTATTCGACAGCGACTGTTTTCGCTTGACGTTGTCGTAAGTGAACCAGTTCTCATCGCAAGAAACCATCTATTTTAGAAATTGATTGAAATTGATTTCAGTGCGTTATTTAAGGTATTTTTCACAAGTAGTGTTGTTCGATGAAACACCGAAGTTGATGAAACACAAATATATATCTGTACTCTTAAAAATTACTAAAAGCACGATAAATCTATAGCAAATACGCCACGACAGTAAATTTTACCTCCGAGATGGTATGAAACCGTAGATAAAATTGGTTAATGGACTTGGCACCGCCCACATTTAGGTGAAATCACATATCTCGACCAACCAAATTCGTATTATTTAATTATCTAGTATACAAATCAAAAATAAATTATTATAACGATATAAAACTTTTTACAAAAATTGCCTTTGACATACTATCTAAGTACTAAAAATTGACCAAATCGAAAAAGAAACTGTTCAAACCCACCAATAAGTGATATACATATATAATTGAAATTAGGAGAGAATCCTTTTCTAGTAATAGTACCTCTGTGTATCAAAAAAGGTTTGAATAGGGTCAATACTTCCCTTAGCCCTCATATTAAACAAAAGAATAGCAAAACTTTTAAAAGTTCCTTCAGTATAAGCAATCCAACTTTTTCTAAACAAAAATTTCAAAAATGTTGAAGTCACTTTGAAAACTTTGCATTAGCTGACCTAAAATAACATTATTTTGCCAAACTCAATATATTTGCAAAAATATTGTAAAAACATATGTACATATAATATTTGCACGAAATTAAAGTAGAAGAATATCTGTAAATTCGCATTTGAGCGAAACAAAAACAATGCACTGGCGAAAATGGCGTATGAAAAACAAAAACGGTCAAAATGGGTTGGCCGAAGGCAGTGCCCTCGAACAAAGAGCAAAAGTAAACAAATTTAAACAGCGCATTGGATGGAACGCTAACATTCCGAAAGGAGGCAGCACACTGATCCGTTGCAAAAGTGCAAATGCATTATGATGCGTAGCTAAACCCTTTTGCAAAAGTAAACAGTGCAGAAATCATTTTCGCTTTTCCCTTTTCCCAATTCGCCTTGCACGTTGGCGCATAATGAACCTCAAGGTTTTCAGCAATTTTCGCTAACTGCCGCAGCCATGCTGGGGTAGCAAGTGCAATGCAGGTGACTTAGCCTAACGCAGCTCTCAGCAGCCACTTGAATTGACACCGCATGCACCTGATGGACACGCACTAGACTGATCCTATTAGGCCGGTCGCACAATGCTGGACGTCGTATTGGCTAGTTGGCTGAGGTGCGACGGCATGCTGATTGAGTAGCCGTCTGGCGCCAGCACTACTTGAACTCACGGAATTAGGGCGTTAAACTATTTAATCCAGTTTTACTTAAGACTCTTTCGGTAAACAGTTTTCGGCGTTTTTTCCAATTCTCTGCTTTTCCGATCTTTAAATTGTTTTTCTTTGAGCTAAGCTGCCTAAAATGCGTGCCAGGTACATATTTGCATACCTACGTTCATGTGTATGAATGTATGTTTTTATTTTCGCTCGATAACTAAACGATTGATAAACACTACCTCATTTCCAATTCTTTTTTAACAAATTATAAATTTAATTTTAATGGAATAGGAAATAGTCCTAAAAGCTCTGTAGAATATTATATGCTTGGAAAAGAAACTGTTTCCAGAAGTGAGTTCCAATTGCTACAGAGTCGCATCAAATGCTTGTCGAGGCATATGGTGATTATGTTCTATAAGAAGCAATATGCATAAGGTGGTTTCAATGGTTCAAAGGTAATGATTTTGATGGGAGAAATCAAGAACGTGGAAGACCGCCAAAAAAGTTTGAAGACGTCGAACTGCAAGCAATATTAGATGAAGATGATACTTTGAGTCAAAAGCGAATGGCAGACATGTAAAATGTTGACCATCAAACAATTTTATACCGTTTGAACGCTTTTGGGAAAGATCAACAAGTGTGGGAAATGGGTGCCACATGAATTGATAGAAAAAAAAATGGAAAACTGAAAACACTTTTGTGAAATTTTGCTTTAAAGATACGAAAGAAAATCAGTTTTGCAACGAATTATCAGTGGGAAGAAAAAATGGATTAGTTGGTTAGTAGGGGGTGGTATATCATGAGCTTCTTTCAACTTCCTTGAAACTGTTAATACTAATCGCTACCGACAACAAGTGATCAATTTGAATCATGCATTCATCGAAAAACCAGACCAAAATGCGCCAGAAGACGCGGCAAAGTAATTTTGTTATATGACAATGCACCTGCACACAAAGCAAAATCGCTTCAGGATACTATCAAAGTACTTGGCTGGAAGCTGCAACCTCACCCGCTGTATTCACAAGATTTGGCTCCTTCCGTTTAGTATTTGTTTTCATTGATGGGACCCATATTGGATGAGCAGCACTTTAAATCCTACGCAGAAGTCGAAAATTGAGTGTCTGAGCGGTTTGCTTCAAATGATGAATATTTCTATTGACATGGTATCCACAAGCTGCCAGAAAGGTAATCAAAATGCGTAAAAAGCATTGGTCTATACTTCAAATTATTATAATTTTTCTTTACTTTCCCATACAAAAATAATATTTCATTTTCACAAAAGACGCCGGTTTATTTATATAAA